CGGAGGAAACTGGAGACTCCGTGTCTTGCGAGGTTCCCACAGCCCTGCGGTCTATAACTCCATCTCCTGTCTCCTCAGTCACACTCTCCAGAGACAGACCCTTCCAGTCATGGACAGAAAAAGGAGTGACCATATCACAGAACTATAGGGTCGGATTATTACTGAGACTGTAGGTGGCGGCGGGCAAGATGACTTAGTGGAGAAAGGTGCTTGCGGCACAAGCCTCGCCACCTAAACGATTACCAGAACCCACACAAGGCTGGATGAAAAGAACCAACTCCAAAACTACCCTCTGATCTTCACATCTATACCATGACCTGCACACATGCATCCATCACACACATACACACACACACACACACACACACACACACACACGAAAAAAAAAAAAACCCATAGGTGCTGGTTAAAATGTCCACAACAAGTTGGGTATCATAGTAACGTCTCTAATTCCAGCACTCAGGAGGCTGAGGCAGAATTACGTGGAGGCTACAAAGTGAAACCCTGTCCGAAAACAAAAAATAAAACAGGTGCTGGGTGTGGTGGTGCATTCCTTTAATCCCATCGCTCAGGAAGCAGGAGCAGGCAGATCTCTGTGAGTTCCAGGCCAGCCTGGTCTACAAAGCTAGTTCTAGGTCAGCCAGAGCTACACAGTGAGACCCTGACTCAAATAAAGCAAAGCAAAGCAAAGAAAGCCCAGCATGAAAGCCAAACCCACACCTGTCTCCCTCCCACACAAGCCTGCCTGGAGCTTTCTCGGCTGCCTAGGCCTCACCTTTGAAATACTTAACCGTCTTCACTTTCAGCTCCAAGGTGGCATCCTCATCGCACACAAACACGGTTCGGGGGTGCTGCTGGAAGGCGGACACAGTCCACATATGGTTCACGCCCTCCTCGATGGCCTTGTACAGAGCAAAAGCCTTGTGAGCACCTGTGATGAGGATCATCACCTGGGGATAAGAAAACAGGCCAGTGATGGAGACATGGCAGCTTGGGAAGCCGTGGTGGGGGTCATCTGTGGGCCCCTGAGGTCGACTCTCACAAAGATTGCCCCTATATCTATTCTCTTTCCAGTTCAGAGCATTAAAAGTGCTGGTGTGACTCAGTGTGCTGTCTTCTGTTTACAGAAAGCAAAGACGTGGCCGCACTCCTTAGCTAAGATACCAAAACACACACGCAGAAAGGTGGCCCTAAAGACTCAGATCTGCAGACTCCCCATTCATCTGAGTCTCCACTCCCACCATGGAGTGGCCAACAGGATCACTGCTCCTTTCCTTTTTCGAAAAAATTAGGACAGGGTCTCACTACGCGTAGTTCTGGCTGGCCTAGAGCTCGCTCTGTAGACCAGGCTGGCCTCGAACTCACAGAGATCTGCCTGCCCCTGCCTCCCCAGTGCTGGGATTAAAGGCGTGCGCCACCACTGCTCCTCTCTTAAAGAGCTGAACAGAGGCACAGGGAGGCAACCTTGGTTCTAAAAGCCCGAACATCCCGCCCTTGGTGCATTTTCCAGATCAGAGCCTTCTCTGGTGTGCCCGGCCTCCAAACCCTTGTGCTTCCAAGAGGCGAACAGACCCTGAGAGACTGATTCAGGCCACCCAGTGGGAATCCAGGTACCATAATTCACTAAGTTTACTTTTCCACTGATTCAGATGCTTACTCACAGACTTGACCAAAGAAACTGAAAAGAAACTATCTACAGCCATTTCCCACTGAGTGTAGGAAATGCTTCTAAAATTCAAACCCATGGGCCAGTGAATGGCTCAGCAAGTACAGGGTACCTGCAGCCAAGCCCGATGACCTGACGTCTGTCCCTGGGTCCCACATGGTGGAAGGAGAGAACGGACTCATAAAAGTTGTCTTAAACGCTCCATCAGAGTGTTGTGACATGCAATTACATACACACATATATGGACACATACAGACACTCACAATAAGAAATATGATTTTGAGGTGGTGGTGGCACATGCCTTTAATCCCAGAACTTGGGAGGTAGAGGCAGGTGGATCTCTGTGATTTCAAGGCCAGCCTGGTCTACAGAGTGAGTTACAGGACAGCCAGAGCTACACAAAGAAATCCTTTCTTTAAAAAAAAAGAAAGAAAAAAAAAAGGAGAAATATGATTTTGAAAAACAAGATAGAGTATAATTCAGACACAGTAAAGAAATTGGAACCACAAAAATAAAATTAAATTAAAATATCTGACTTTCTAAGAGAAAAACTCACTAAGTTCAGCCCAAAACATTCTAATCACATTTAACTATATTTATTGCCTTCAAGCACAGGGCTACAGACACAGCATCCTTGGGTTGCAGGAGCAGAGTCCTTTCAAACCGTGATCAACCTCAGGGACCCAAAGTGTCTGCTCAGATGACTGCCCTCATCCCAGGAATGACCTCACTCACCTCCAAAGGCAGAAGAGAAGCAGTGTCAAGACCAGCTGGGATTTTAGTTTTATTTATGAGGCACCAAGTATAGCTTAAATTAACAATAAAATAACCCCTCTCCCCAACCTTAGCAAAGGCTGGCCGACAGACCTTCGATCCCTTACCTCTCTAGCATTCATCACAGTGCCTACACCCACCGTCAGGGCCATGGTGGGCACCTTGGCAAGATCACCATCAAAGAATCTAGCGTTGGCCAGGATGGTGTCCATGGCCAGAGTCTTCACACGGGTCCTGGACACCAGACTGGAGCCTGGCTCATTGAAAGCAATGTGTCCATCCGGGCCAATGCCTGTGGAGATGGCAGAACAGCCCCATGAATCCCAGGGATGGAAAAACATCAAAAACAACAGTCTCTCCTGCTCTGAAAAAAAAAAATCTCTGAAAATTACATGCCTTTTCTCATTTGTCCCCTAAGTCAGGTCTACCTCAATCATGTGACCTCCCTTCCTGCTTCCTCTACCTGAATGAAGTACACACAGACTCTGGTAACTCGCTTCCACCCTCAGATAGCTCAGAAGTGTGTAAGATAGCTTCCCTCCCACTCCAGACTGGGGAAGTGCGACTTCTCCCTCCCTTTTACCCGGAGCTGGAATCCAGCAAGGCGAACTCGGCCTGGACGGCTGATTTGTAAGTGCTTAGGACATGCAAACTCCTGCCCTCCTCTCTACTATTTCTTTATTTTCTTCTAACTAAAGACAGAGTCTCTCTTAAGTAGCCATGCTCACCTCCAACAAAGAGTTCGATCCCGCCTGCAGCCTGGATCTTGTCCTCAAAGGCGTCACACTCAGCCTGCAGGTCAGCTGCGTTCCCATCCAGAATGTGGGTGTTTTCAGGGTGGATGTCAATGTGCTTGAAGAAATTATTCCACATGAAGGAGTGATAGCTCTCTGGGTGCTCTCGAGGAAGACCTGTGGGCCCCGGGGACACTCAGGACAATGCCGGGTGATCACACTGGCTGCAAGGTCCCTTGGGAGACTGCCCATCTGACCCCCGACTGTGTAGGGCAGGCTGAGCTGGTGTGTAATCAACCATGGCCAGTATCTGTGACTACAGGCTGGGCTGGGCTGTGGCTACATACTGGTGGTGGTGGTGATGGTGGTGGTGAGGCTGGGAACTGGGAAATCTCATTCCGATCCCCAGTGTAGCTCAAGGGTAGAGCATCGGCCTGGCATGTGTGAGACCCTCAGTCTGATCTTTCCCATCAGCTTGGGGTGGGGAGCACACACTTGGAGTCGAGGAGCACTGTGCAGCTAGAAGTAACCTGCCCACCCGGGTGGCGGGACTGAGTCCGTGGGGAATGGAAGCAACCGCATCCTCTACCCTGGGCCTCCTATGCCACCCCTCATTCCGTAATCTCCACTACACCTGAACTCCAACTTAAACATGGCGTGGATGGAGAGAGCACAGAGCTGCTCCAAACTGAAAGATGGTTAAAAGTAATTTAAATGTGAAGACTATTTAAAGTCAGGCCTTCCTTTAATACCAGCACTCAGGAGGCAGACGCAGGTGGAGGATCTCCAGGAGTTCAAGGCCGGCCTGATCTACACAGTAAGTTCCAAGCCAGCCAAGGCTGTAGAGTGAGACTCTGTCTCCAAACACCTGAAACCTCTGAAATCAGACTGCGAATGTTCATCAGTGGCTGAGCACTTGCCATGTGCACACCCCAGGTGTTGGGTTCCATCTTCAGCTACGCCAAAATCAAAGGAAATTTTGTCTCAGAACATATTTAAAAGCAGGGATGGCAGAGAGGTGGTGGCGCACGCCTTTAATCCCAGCACTGGGGAGGCAGAGGCAGGTGGATCTTTCAGTTCCAGGCCAGCCTGGTCTACAGAATGGGTTCCAGGACAAATAGGCCACTTAGTGAGAGCCTGTCTAAAAAACAACAAACAAACAAACAAAAAAGTGCAGACGGCAAGATGGCTCAGTGGGTATAGGTACCTGCCACCAAGTTCTTCAGGACCCACGTGGTGCAAGGACATAACAGACTTCATCGAGTAATCCTCTGATCTACACACACACACATGCACACACACACACACACACACACACACACACACACACACACACACACACACTCTAAATAGACATAATTTTCAAAATGCATTTAGTCTTTAAAATGAAAGAAATTAGCTGGGTGGTGGTGGTGCACGCCTTTAATCCCAGCACTGGGGAGGCAGAGGCAGGCAGATCTTTGTGAGTTCGAGGCCAGCCTGGTCTACAGAGTGAGTTCTAAGAAAGGTGCAAAGCTACACAGAGAAACCCTGTAAAAAAAACAAACAAACAAACAAAAAAAAAAACCAAATAAATAAATAAAATGAAAGAAACTGCTGTGCACAGCAGTACATACTTATAACCCTAGCACTCAAGGGGGAAAGCGGGAAGATCACAAGTTCCAGGCTAACTTGGGCTACACAACAAGATCCTACTTCAGAAAACCAAAAGGAAAAACAAAATTCTGGTACAAACCATAAACGGGTGATTGAATGCTATGTGAAGAAGGCAGGCACAAACAGCCAAACGCATTCATGACCTGACTCACATGAGTGCCTGGAGAAGTCAGATTCTGGAGAACTGGGGAGCAGTTAGACGGGAAGTCTCAGCTCTGCAGGGTACGAGTTGTCTCACAGTGGTGTGAATGCACTCGAGACTTCTGAACTGCACATTCCAAAGTGCTCAAGAAAAAGCTCTCTGTGGGGTTGGGGTGTGCCCATGGGGTCCAGAAGAAAGCGTTGGGTCCTTTGGAGCGGGAGCTACAGGTTGTAAGCCACCTGAGGTGGGTGCTGGGAACTGTACTTGGCCTCTCTGCAAGAGCAGTGTGTGTTCTTTTTCTGGCAGGGAGGGGATAGAGACAGGGTCTCTCTGTGTCATCCTGGCTGTCCTGGAACTTGCTTTGTAGACCAGGCTGGCCTTAAACTCACTGAGATCTGCCTGCTTCTGCCTTCCTAGTGCTGGGATTAAATCTGGTGTGTGTTCCTAACCACTGAGCCATCTCTCCAGCCTTGATTTTGTGCTTGTCAACCAGAAATGTCCGTTTCCCAGGCTGCCCTCAGTTGTTGTTCCCCCACCCTGCCCCCCCAAAGCAACCCCAGCAGTTAGGCTACTTCAAAACACCCAGTTGTGAAGATGGTAAGTGTTTATTTTACCAGGCGTCTGTCTGTCTGTCTGTTAACGTTTAAAATGAAACCATTGGTGACAGGAGGCACAAGTCTCAGCCTCCACCAAGGGTGCCTGACAGAAAGAGGAGCCGAGGGAGTCACATGAGGAAACAGTCCAGACACGGAACTGGATCCCAGGATCTCATCTGCAGGTGTTCCGAAGAGAGATGCCATGGAGTTGGGGACTAAGCAGAGGGGGGAAGCATCTTCATATTTAGTAAGTATTTACTAAAGGCCTGCAATGCAGAGTAAGCCCCTGCACCGATCATGGCCTCTTTAACACACTACTAAGGTAAGCCCCATTTTACAGCTGGGTAAAGCAAAGCTGCAAGAGACAATCACCACTAACTAAACAGTTCCTCCCCAAGGCTGAGCCAGTGAGAGAAGGAGCATGATTCCCCTAGAATCGGGAAGAACATGAAAGACACTCACCCACATACTCGTCCATGTTGAAGGTTTTCACATATTTAAAGGAGAGATCCCCATTCTTATAGTACTCAATCAGCTTCTGGTAGCAGCCAAGTGGTGTGCTCCCTGTGAGAAGCAATTAGCAACGTCACCATAACCATGAAGAAGAATGTCACATCTATAGTCCCATCTAAGCTGGGCAGGGGTGGTGCATGCCTTTAATCCCAGCACTCAGGAGGCAGAGCCAGGTGGATCTCTATGAGTTCGAGGCCAGCCTGGTCTACAGAGTGAGATCCAGGACAGCCAGGACTGTTTCACAGAGAAACCCTGTCTCAAACAAAACAAAACAAAAAAAGTCCCATCTATGCTGCAGCCCCACCTACCACCCATCTACTTCCTGCTCGATGTCTAGTGCCCATTAGATTGTTATGTTCCAGGGAAGAGTCTGTGAGAGTCTCCCAGGTCCATCCTCACAGCTACAGAAGTCACCAGTTAGTATCCGAGTGACTGTCAGACTTGATGACTGATGTAATGTTCTAGGAGCAACAACTATGTGCAAGCCACAGGGCTGCAGACGGGAAGACAGAGGGGACTACCCTAGAGGAGGCCACTGTGTACACATGGGGACACAGCAGAGATGTAAGTTGTGACAGGGTCACCCCGTGCTTCAGTCCAGAGTTGAGTCTCACAAGCAAGTAAGCAAACCAAAGACAGGAGGGTCATAAAAGAGTCAAGACTGAGGAGCCCAACCGAGGGCCCGGCTCAGTGATGGGCTCCATCGCCAGCTTCACTGCAGACAAAAGAGCAAAAGAGACAAGGACCCTGAATGGATACTGGCATAACTTCAAACTAACCTCCCAAGGTGGGGGTGTGGTCAAGGGGGAGCAGGGAAGACCCAGGATTAGTCCCTAGCCAGGCCTACAGACGAGGAGAAGGAAATAAAAACTAAGCACCCGTACAGAACTAATGTAGACTACTGGGGAAAGGTTCTGAACACAGGCTGTGTATCAGAGGATACTGCAGGACGCTGCACAGACTTGTCCTTCCGTCTGCAGGGGTGGAGGGGGTTACAAACCAAAGTCCTCACTCCTGGGAGGGAAGGGCTGCAGGGTTTGGGGCAAAGTGTCATGATGTCTGGAGTCACTCTCATGTGGCTCCAACAACAAATTACAAGGGCAGACAGAGACCAGAGCCAGAGGACAAAGCAAAGGTGCCAAGACATGAGCGGGTGAGGCTAGGCAAACGGCACCATCCTGTTGATCTCGATCCTTTCAAAAAACTTTCACAATAAAAAGATGTGGAAAGGAAAAACTCAACCGCATCCACTGAGATCATCACGCCCCTTTCCAAAACCCAACCATGTCTTCTTTCTGCCTCCTAATAGCTAATCTCACAAAGGCTGCTCAAGCCTGCCCTGGGCTTCCCCTCAGGGCCTCTGCCCCCACGGTCCTCTCTACAGGCCATGCTCTTCCTTCAGGTAACTTCACGGCTAACTCACTTCTCCAGCCTTTCCCTCAAGGCTGCTTTCTCAGAGACCTTCTCTGCCCCCACATCCGACACAACTCTCCCTAGCCTTTCTTCTGTATCGCTTTTCTCTTCTCCTGTTGCCTTCTAAGGTACTCTACAGTTTGCTAATTGACTTATTTACCCTCTCTTTCCCCACTATAATTCAAGCTTTAAGAAGTAGGAATTTAAAAAAAAAAAAAAAGAAGTAGAAGTAGGAATTTATGTTCATCTTCTTCTTTTACTGGGGAGAGAGACAGGTGGATCTCTGAGTTTGATCCCAGCCTGGTCTACATAGCCTGGTCTACAGAGCCAGCTCCAAGCCAACTCAGGCTATTTAGTGAGACCCTGTCTCAAAAAACCAAAAACCCAAAAGATTCCCTTTTAACTATGTGTATGTGTGAGGATATGCATGTGAGTGCAGGCACTTACAGACTCCTGAAGAGGGCCTTGAATCTCCTGGAGCTGGAGTTACAGGTGGCTGTGAGCATACTAATCTGGGTGCTGGGAACTGAACTCAGATCATCTGTAAGAACAGTAGTGCTCTTAACTGCTGAGCCGTCTCTCCAGTCCTAAGAATGGTCTTACACTTTTAATATAGTTTTTATTTTATTTATTTAATTTTTTTTTTTAGGTTTTTCAAGACAGGGTTTCTCTGTGTAGCTTTGCACCTTTCCTGGATCTCTCTCTGTAGACCAGGCTGGCCTCAAACTCACAGAGAACCGCCTGCCTCTGCCTCCCGGGCACTGGGATTACAGGCGTGCGCCGCCACCACCGCCCAGCCTTAATATAGTTTTTAAAAAATCAGGGCTCGAGAGATGGCTCAGAGGTTAAGCTCAGTGGCTGCTCTTCCAGAGGTCCTGAGTTCAATTCCCAGCAACCACATGGTGGCTCACAACCATCTGTAATGAAATCCAGTGCCCTCTTCTGGCCTATAGGCATACATGCAGGCAGAAATACTGTATACATAATAAATAAATCTTTTTTAAAAAAATCAAAAGAATATTTCATGATACAGGAAAATTACATAAGTTCCAACTTTAGCGTCTACAAATAAAGTTTTATTGATACAGCCACACATTCAGACACATGTTGTCTGTGGCTGTTTTCCTACCTACAGTAGCAGAATGAGGAGCTATAATATTGAAGCCTAGATATACGTACTGTTAGGTATTTACTGCAAAAGTCTGATAGCCTCTCGCTCTAGTGGATGGGTCAGACAAAACCACAAAAGACCAATCTCCCCACTTGGAAAGAAATATTTTGGAGACTTTTTTGAAGCACTGGACCAAAATATCGTCCTGTAAAGATAATATTCTGACTTTTTTCAGAAGACATTGGGTTTTTTTGTTTGTTTGTTTGTTTGTTTTGAGACAGGGCTTCTCTGTGTAGTTTTGTGCCTTTCCTGGAGCTCGCTCTGTAGCCCAGGCTGGCCTCGAACTCACAGAGATCCGCCTGCCTCTGCCTCCCGAGTGCTGGGATTACAGGCGTGCGCCAGCACCACCTGGCTACATTGGGTTTTATAATCACTTAAGCTTTATGGAAAATTATTTGACTAACTTCTCAATTCTCCCATGACCAGCACTCAGTATCCCCTACATGCAGAGAACAGAAATTAATCTCATAAAACCAACATCTGAGGAAACCAGGGTTGAGTTAGGATTTAACTCCTGCTGAAGAACCAGCCTGCCTCCATCCTAGGCTTAAAAGCCACCTTATAGTAAAGATGAACCAGGTTCATTCCTGTTTATGATTAAACCTGTTTCTCCAGGACTGGGCTATGCCCCACCTGTAACCTTAACTACAAATGGTTCTGTACCGACTGCTCCAGGAATGGCCATCATGTCTTTGCTTCAAAAAATAATTTAAAACCATCTCGAAACCCTACCTTTGTTTCAAAAGGTTAGATGACCACCTAAGGCTACCTTATTACGACCACCTGTTGTGATTACCGCGTTTTGGACATCTGTTATATTTTACTCCCATAACCCCCCCCCCTATTTCCTCCTATTAGGAAGCCCCCTACCCCTGAGCTCTATAAAAGCCTTGTCTTCCTCACATCCAGTGCTGCCCTCTGAAATCTCAACTTGGGGAAAGACAGGCCGCTGTCCAGTTCCTGTTTATCTCTAAATAAAGCTTGCTTTAATTGGCCAGTCGTGGAATTGGTTTTTTCTCAGGTCTAACCGTGCCTCACCAAGATTCCTTCCGTTCCGGATTTTACAGGAATAGCGGCCACTAAACCAACCCATACAGGAAGCCAGGTGCTTTCTCTCTCTCTGTGGAGGGCACCACAGCAAACAGAACTTTAGCCCCTCTTTTAAAGTCTCTGGGCTAAATGAGCCCATAATCCCGATGCTTTAAAGGACTCCAACGACCTCTCGGTCCGCCCCTACGCACCCCACCCTCTCTTCTCCACAGCATACCGGTGGGAAGCCCCAGGGTGAAGTACTTGTCAGGCCCTGGATTAAACTGGATGATGCGGTTCCTAATGTACTTGGCCGCCCACTCGCTGGCCTGTGAATAGTGTTCCAGGATAATGAGCTTCATCTCGTCCTGCAGCATGGAGACAACAAGCTGAATTAAGGGGAGGGCAGGGGGCAGAGAAGGCTGGGGAGGGGGTCAGAGTTCCTCCAGCCTGAAAACAGCCTTCTTCTCCTCCCAGCTCACAGGTGAACAGGCTGGGCGGGGAGCCGCCGCCGACCACCAGGAGGCGGTACTGTGGGGTCAGTCCTTGGCTGGGGAGGACCCCCCCCATAGCCCCAGATTTTTTCTGGGCCCGTTCCTTCCTGCGTAAAACGCGGTGGGTGAATGCCTCCTCGATTTCACGATAGGGCGCAATGCACACAGCATAGAGTCCGCGGGCCACGGTCACCCAGCAGCAGGGCCCGTTCCGGCCCGCATCCTCATCCTCACCCGGCCGGGTCCTCTGCCTCGGGCTCCCTTCCCCTTGGGGTACTAGAGGAGGCGGCGGCGAGTGCTGGAGAGGGGTGGGGTGCTTCCAGGGTCCTCAGTTCTCCCCCAAGTATCAAGGGATACAGGTAACCCTGCGGCAGGGGGGCTAGTGGTTTGCCGTCCGTCCCCGGGGTTCAGCGTCCCCCACCCAGACTGTGCTCGGGCTGCCCCTCGGGCCCGGCCAGTGTGACCCAGGTCTGGGGTTCGGGGGCTCCCGCTGGATCGCTCCCACTTACACAAACGCTTCCCGCGGCTGGGAGGAGGTTACAGCACTGGCGGCAGGGCCCGCGCGGGTCACGTGGCCGCGGGTCACGCGGTGCGCGCGCCGCCAGCTGACTCAGGGCGACCACCTGACCTGGGGGTGGAGGCAGAGAGTGTGTGTGTGTGATGTGTGTGTGTGTGTGTGTGTGTGTGTGTGTGTGTGTGT